GTTTTTCTTGGTGCTGGAGTAGCTTATTGCCGACATTTAGAAAACAGCATACACGATTCACCATTTAAACAATTGCTGCTTAAAACATCTTGCATATTATTCAGTTAAAACAGATATAAAACTATTAGAACTGTGAGCTTCAACATAATGTAACATACAACATTGCAATCCAGGGGTTTGGTGATAACAACTGATCTTTGTTTCTCATTAAAATACTCCATGAGCAAAACAATTAAACCCCACAAAAAGTGTTATGCCAATCAGCTATTTTTTTTTAAAAATGTCCTGCTATCAGTTTCAGCTCATTAAGATCACAGAATCTAGTGTCTGAAATTCCTGGGTGCTAGTTTTAACAACATTGTAGAGAAAACAGGATGGGAATGTTGGGAGATCAAGGTAATGGACAATTCCATCTGCGTTTAGCATTTATCTAAGCTTTCCTATCCCAAACCAAAGTTAAAATCAGAGATAAAATGCCTATATACTGGTTAAGAGAAGGGAGTTTCTCCTGTTGTCCTGGCTTGGCAATAATCTCCGAAATAAAATGGGCCATTCAATTTATGACTGTTTGTAGGACATTGTTGTGTCCAAATTGGATGCCATGTTTGTCTACAAAATACAGTGAAGTGTTTTGAGATGCAAATAATTCCTCCAAAACCAAAAACAATAATAAATTGGTCATTTTCAATCTACGACTGTTTGTGGGACATTGCTGTGCGCAATTGGCTGCCGCGTTCGCCCACAAATATACAGTCAATTCACTTTACAGTGTGTTCTGTGAAGCGCTTTGTGGCGTCCTCCCGACGTGAAAAGCGCTATATCAAATGCAAGGATTATTATTATTGACAAGATCAAAGGCATTAGATTAATTGCTAATGCAATTATTAATCTTAATAAGATTCTTATTATGTTTTTGTTAAAGCCAGTAAAAAGAACTCACAACATGGACTCCCAAGGAATCCTATTTAATACCTTCCATATTTCAACCTAGCTCCCTTTACATTGTCCCTCTGTTTTCTTCCCGATAGCCAATTACTAATCCATATCCGCTAACTCTACATTGTAATGAAATTCTTATAGGGGGATTTAACAAGAGATCTTTGAAAATTTACTATCTTTATAAAGTTTACTGTGTCATACAGCTTTCCATGTCAATTGGAAAGTGATTGTCTCAAAAAAAAATCTGAGATTGGCTTGGCAAAATCTACTCCTTTTTGGCTGTTATTTATTAGGTTATTTTTGTACAATCTTCCATTTGCTTCTGATTATTGACTCAGTTATTGACACACTTCTAACAAGTTCGCAATTGACAAAGTTGCCCCTTTTTTAAATATGGGAACCACGTTTACTTGCTTCTTGTCTGTCAGATCTATTCAAGTGTTCATTGGGTATCTGTCTGTGCTTCACAAATCTCCCTTCTCTATCTAACTATTTTGGGAGTATAGTTCACCTTGAAAGATTTATTGCTTTTTAGCCCTCTTGGGCCTATCTAGAACCTCTGGCTTACTGAAGTCTCCCCAGTCCTTGTCAGGCTCCACTGGCTTTTAACAGATCGACAACAAGGTCTTCACTGTCACCTGTATATCCCTTTGATTAATTTTAAAAACTGGCCTTTTCTTTCTGCCAAACGATCTCACTCCACTCCACAGCTGGATTGATGATCTTCTTGCACGTAAGCAATGAACAATTTTTGAAAACTGCCATAGAGAGTAGAATACCTTGGGCACACATTTCCTTTCAAATCATTTTGAGATTTAATTGTTGTTCGTTGAACTTTATTAAAGAATCACCACAAATAGTTTTGATATTGTTATTAAGCTCTGTCTGCCTTGTGATTCAGGTGGATGTAAAGGAACCACCCGCCATTGCAATTTTAAACCGATACAGTGTTTACCTCCTGATTATCCTGCCTTACCTTCTCCTCCTCATCACCTTATCTTACCCCCAGATTCAACTGAATTACTGATCTCATTGTGATTTATGGGATGTTGCTGGTGTAGATTGAGTATCACTTTTGCCAATAGCAATATTCACTTTCATTTCCAATCAATTATCTTTTGTAAAATGTTTTAGAACGTTTATGTATGAAAGGTGCTATATGAATGCAAATTATTTTTATTAATATAAACAATAAGTGTGCAATTTATCCTGTATCTCCTCTTGATCAATATCAGACTCCTCTTCTCCATCACTAACTGCCTCCTCTGTCCACCTTCCCGTGTCTCACCGTTCCTCTCCTCCAATTCCAACTGCGAGGAGATGTTGGACTTGCCCGAATCCAAAATCGAGGGGATTCGTTCGTCTACCTCTCCCCCGTCCACCGCTACCCACTCGCCACCTCCTCCTCATGGCATGGCCCCCACCCATCCCTCCCTAAACACCTTTGACCCTGTCTCCCCCTCCTCCCTCACCTCCATCATTTCTAAAATGAAGCCCACCATTGGCTCCCTCGACCCCTTCCCAACCCCTCTCCTCACCTCCCAGATCCACCTCGTGGCCTCTCTTTTAACCAACATTATCAACCTTTCCTTACCCACTGGCACTGTTCCCACCTCCCTAAAAACAAAGTAACTTTGACCAGTTTCAAAAGTACGGCTGTGGGAAGTATGAAAACCTGACTGGAGGCGTTCAAAGTCATCACTACCATGCTCAAATAACCTTTCCTGGACCCATCTCTACTCTCCAGCTATCGCCCCTTCTCCAACTTCCCATTTCTCTCCAAGGCCCTGATAATCCCTCCAAAACTGAACAATAATAAATTGGTCATTTTCAATCCACAACTGTTTGTGGGCACTGCTGTGCACAATTGGCTGCCACGGTTCGCCCACAAATATACAGTCAATTCACTTTACAGTCTATTCTGTGAAGCGCGTTGAGACGTCGAGAAGACGTGAAAAGCGCTATATCAAATGCAAGGATTATTATTATATGAGTCGTTGCGTCCCAGCTTCCTTCTTTCCTCTCCTGCCATTACCTCTCTGAACGCCTCCAGTCGGGTTTCCATATTTCCCACAGCCGTACTTTTGAAACCGGTCAAAGTTACTAACGATATTCTGAACATCTGCAACCAGGGCTCTCTCTGCCTCCTTGTCCTCCTTGACCTATCTGCTGCCTTTGACACTGTTGACCACTCTAACTTCATACACCGCCTCTGCTCTCAGCTCAAATTTGATGGGCCTGCCCTTGTCTGGTTCGAATCCTACCTCTCCCACCGTGCCCACTTTGTCACCCCTAACAGCTTCTTCTCCAGCCCCCGCACTGTCACCTATGGTGTCCCTGAGGGCTCTGTCCTTGGCTCTCTCCTTTTCAATATCTAAGTACTCCCAATATCAATATCTGTGACATCATCTGCAAACATGGGGTCAATTTCCACATGACACCAAACTCGACCTCTCTGTCTCCACCCTCGATTCCAGGACTACTACTGTCCTCACAGACTACGTGTTGGTCATCAAGTCCTGGATGAGAGCTAACTTCCTGCAGTTGAATGTCAACAAGACCGAGGCACTCCTGCTTGGCCCCCATCAGTGCCTCCGCACCTCAAGTACTGACAGCATCTCCCTCCATGGATGCATTCTGCATCTCACGGAGCCAATACTGAACCTCGGTATCCTGTTCGACCTTAAACTATCCTTCATACTCCACATCCATGCCATGACCCGCTCCGCCTTTCCCCACCTCCACAACATCGCCCAGCTCCAACACTGTCTCACACTGCAGACCGCCGAGACCCTCATACACGCATTCATAACATCCAGGCTCGACTACACAAACTCCCTGCTTATCGGCCTCCCCAACTCCTCCCTCCGTAGGCCGCAGATCATCCAGAACTCTGCAGTCCGTGTCCTTTCCTGCACTAGGCTCTGTGACCCTATCACCCCCACCCTCGTCCGATTCCACTGGCTTCATATCACACAGACGATACAGTTCAAGATCCTGGTCCTCACTTTCACAGCTCTCTAAAGCCTTGCTACCCCCTACCTCTGCGACCTGCTAATCCTGTACCAACCTGCCTGCTCCCTCCACTCAGCAATCTCAGGTCTGCTTCACGTCCCCACCTCGCGCGCTCCAACATTGGTGGGCGGGCCTTCAGCCACTCTACCACCACCCTCTGGAATTCCAACCCCCAGTCACTCCACCTCTCCCCCTTCCTTGCCTCCATCAAAATCCGTCTCAAGACCCTCCTCTTCAACCCTGCCTTTGGTCACCCTCGTTCCCTCACTGCCCTCCACCTTCCCCGATCCCGACCCCCAGCTCGGGTCCGAAACACTGATTCTCCAGCGCCTTGGCATGTCCTCACAACATGAAAGGCATAATTTTGTTGTTGTTGTATCTTCATACGAATGAGCTTTACTTGTGCTTTCAGTTTGACATATTTGTCAGGGTGGATCTCTGCATGTTATATTGTTAAAAAGCTATTTGCAATTTTATAATAATGTTGATATAATAATCCTTGCAATTGATATAGTGCCTTATCACATCCTTGAGATATCTAAAAGTGCTTCACAGAATAATTTGTAAGGTCGTGTAACTGTGAATGTTGTGGGCAAACATGTCGACCAATTTGTACACGGCATCATCCCACAAACAGCCATTGAATAAATGACCGTTTTTTTGGGGGGGGGGGAGATTGTTGGTTGGGATACTGGGAGAAATTCCTTTCTCTTTTTCTCATGTAAGTGTTTCTACGTCATAACAGCCCCTCACCAAGAAAACAGTAGGTTACCGGCTTCGAGTCAATTATTAATACTGTTAATAATGACCCAACCACAAACAAGAGGAGGAAGTATTCCTAACCTGGTCTCAGCTGAGAAGAATCTCACTGGATAGGAATTAACAACCAATTTCTCCTTCGACTATTCTGTTGCTATATCAAGGCAAGGCACCAGTGGGCCTGGTAACACACATGCAATATAGCTCTTTTTATAATGAAACATGCAAATGCTTTCTTTCTACTCAACTCCCACTTGAATAACTGCAAGAGATTTTTTTCTAATTACCTGCTTATAATCTTCAAGGGTTACTTCTATGCATATTCTCTCCTCATAGATCTCCAAAAGAAGGGTTTTTGCTATTAGAAAAGTGTTTTGTAGTCTTCGATATTTTTCAGCTAAGAAATTATTTTTATTACAGGCGTTGATCAGTTTAACCTAGAAAAACAATGAATACAAATAATTGTTAATAATAATCTTTGTAATTGATACAGCACCTTATCACATCAAAACATTTCAAAGCACTTCAATTTTCTGAAAAAGTTCATGTCAAGACAAATCACGGCCAATATGCACGTAGCAATGTTCCGATGTTTATTTGGATTCTCCTAAAGACATAAGACCTGAAATTCAACCTCGTCTTAGTCCGTGAGACCATTTTATCTTAAAATGTAACATTGTACAGAATTGTGGAAAATTCAACCTTAATTTGGCAGCAGGTTTTATCAATGGTCTGTCTTCTGTATTAGGATCAATTTAAAAAATATTCACGATTGTGCACCATCTTAAATTTGAACATACACATTAAACTTTGTGAAAAGTCTCATGTTTCCTGCCCTATCCTCCCCACCATTATTTATCATGCAGATTATTTCCCTTTACAGTTTCAACAAAAGAAAATAATTAGCATTCCAAAATAAACTACTACACCAAGTCGTATTATATTTCAACTATAATTTCTTTCCAAATGTTGACCTTCATGGATGGTGATACATAGAGCAACAGAATGAAGAACTGTGTAAAGTTCAGATCACTGTACTGAGTACATTCAGCATGTAATAGGGAATGTAAACAATGAGGCTTAGAGATTGTAAAACATTTGTGAGTCACATCTTTACTTCAAATTTTGCCTTCATGTAGAATGCCCTAATTTGTCAGATTGATTGTGCTGAGTAATAATAGATCAGTGCAGAAGATGGTGCTGTTTATTGGAGTTTGTCAGTTACAGATGGACTCATTTACTGTATGTCCATAGTACTTGTCCAGCCAAAAGCCAGAATGAATGTGAGAGAACTATTCTCTGAAATCATTTTACATAAGACTTTTCAGGAGATTCTCTAGTCACCAGTAAATTTAGCAACTTTGATGGACTTGAATATCTGAATCTTCGCTAATCAGTAAACAGTCTTGGCAGTATAATCTTATAATAGTGTTTCCCTTTATAATCTCACATCACTGAAGTCACTCCATTTTTAAACCAGCAGAATACAAGACTTGATGGTCTGCCAAGGGTAATTTACTGACAAGAGGAGCATCTGGTTAAATCTACAGTTAAAAGTCACTGTAGTTAGATCAGGAACAAGTTGCTAAATCAGGGACGCAGCGCCATAATACTTTCCTTTCACATGACCCATTGTGTGGTACAATGATATCACAATTCCTCCTGACATTATAGCTGCCTGCTCTGCTCTATCACTGGACTGAACGCCTTCAAACAGCAGCCAAACAGCTGATAGACACTGACAACTGAGGTTTCGAAAAATTATTGCACAGGATATCGGATATAATGTGCAACGTGCTGTCAGCCTGCTTCTTTTTGTAAACAAAACAGAATGCAGTAATACTGAAAGTTATAATGTGTTTATCAGGAAAATGGCAATGTAATTTTTTCCTCTCTCCTGAAGAAGCATCTCAAGCCCACCCAAGACCCTCATGCACGTCGTGTTGACGAGTGACAACTGTGCTCTTCTGAGATCTCAGATCAGAGCCAAGTACTCACAATTTGTGTAATGTACATTGGTTCCCTTTCAGAAGCACACTTCATGTTCCAAGATGCCATACAAGGTGCCAATGATGCATACAATTTTTTAACCTTATTTTTTGTTCAAATATAGGAAAATACGTTACAGCCAGTAAGGAAAAGGATCTTCATGTGTTGTTACGCTATACCTTTTTTAGTAAAAAGTCTTAATTAAAAATAAGATTTTGATTATTCTTAGACAGTAGTGCAGTGATATTTATATTGTAATTTTTTTAATGTTATAAGGACTATTATTTTAAGTCCAAGCATTCAGGATAGTTTTTCAAATCTTTTATGTTTTCACATGTCCTTGTAATGGAATAAAGCTATCATTTTCACAAGCAAGACAATTTGCCAACTTGACTGACTTGAATATCGGAATCTTTGGCAATTAGTAAACAGCACATGAAGGATCAAAAACCTCTACATGCTGCACTGCTAAGAAGGATAGTTGAGCCATCTAACTGGTAGAGTCATCGCTTAAAGGGTAGAGATTCTGGTGCGAGCAGCACGATGCCGGCAATACTTGCACACATTTCATACTAAGGTGTTCTGGTCACCAAGAGATTCACAGGGAGTTTCCATGAAATCCTTCCACCTTGATCCTGGCTCCGGTTGACCCTGAAAGCAAAAGCCCTAACCGATAAGGTGGTGCTAGCTGGACAAGCAGTAGAAAGCTTGCCCTACAGTGAATTCAACGGCAGGCTCTACAGGTTTCGCTGCGTTTTAACTCCAGCAGTTCCCCAACACACACTCTGAGACCCTAAATCTTGACTCTTGCAAAACCTGCCAATACACTGCAGAATTAGGTAAGTAGAGCATGTTCCTCCAGAGAGAGAGGGTACATGTTTAATTTCAGACACAGGGAAATTTCCATGTGTTTCCACGTGTGACAGAGACACCCAGCTGACCAAACAAAAAAACCTCAGGTACTGTTGTATTACTGTTAAGTATATTGGTGGTTATGGCAGGTAAATATACTAGAAATTTGTGCCAGCAAAGTCCACAAACAATAAGGCGGTGACATTAATTAATCTGAAAGATTGTTGGCTGGAGGATGAACTACTTGAAGACTTTGCACTGCAATAACTGGCACTTCAGTGTGATAACTCAGGTTCGATCTGTATCAACTGTTTGCATCAACAATTATCTTTGAGACCGTTCCATCAGCAGACAAGCTTTCAGCCATTTTGTTTTATGACTGCAATTTGTTGGTGTTATAGAACCCTGCACTTGCAGGTTTATGCACAGAAAATGGCTTTTTGTGATGTTGCAATTGGGCTGTTTTCTCCCACTCAGTCAACAGCTGTATTTACAGACTCATTGAATATTATAGGCTTCAACTGGTTTGTTAACTGCTTCAGGATCATTCTTCACACAACAAATAGAAGCGATGGGTCTTCATATGATTTCATTAGAGATTTGTTGAACATAATTTTAAACATCCTGTGCTTCCATTTAAAAAAGAGAAGGATTGGGCTCACATTTGCTGCACGTATTGAAGACCTGCTCAAAATGTTTAGCAGGACTAACTCAAAATCCATTTTAGTAATCCCATCATAACAGGATAAAGTGAAGTGTACACATTTTCTCAGTTGTTCTGAACATCTGAAATGATTATCTGCAGTCTTGCATAGACTAAGGTAATGCATTTGGAATGCAGAGACGATTTAGTTTCCTCAACTAAGTAATGCAGTGCATGATGATTAGGTTATCTTTGCATCTACCAATACAAAAATTATATGACGCTCTAAGGTGTACTGTAGCTGTGCCATTGCTCACAGCAGCAAAAAAAACTTTCTGTATCATTGTGTATTTTAGCAACGCTATGTGATATAACAGTGGTTATTCATATAGCTTGTTTTAAACTCCCCTCTTAACCTGCACACAATTAAATAACTGGTGAACGTTTACAGCAATGGTGCAACTCCATAATTGTAAGGATTATTTTTTGCACACCTGGGTGCTTTTCTGTGAAGGTTTTACCACCAAATTGGTAAAACCATATTTTATTATCAGAAAATGCTCCAGACCCATACGTGGCAAATACAGATCCATTAAACTGACTTTAAAAATTGGGATCAATCTTTAGAATGAAAATGGGAGATTGTACAAAAAATAAGCTAATTACCTATTGCATACAAATAACCTAAGCCAGCATGGTTTCATAGTTTTTTGAGAAGGTGAAATCACATATTGTTTCTGGGAAAACATATGACATAATATATCTAGACATCTAAAAGGTGTTAGACAAAGTACCACATGACAGACTTATTCACAAACTGATGTTGCCGGGTAACAAAGGTAAGACATGAATATGTATTTGAAATTGGCTGAAGGGAAGGAAGCAGAGCATAGTTGTTAGGGGAACTCAGGCAAAATGGGTATTAGGGGTCAGGAGTATCAGGACGCTTCCTCGTCCTAGTTTATATTAATGACCCCTCACAGACCGACTGCAAAGTAGTAAAATTTGTCGATGACACCAAGTTAGGGGTAATTAGAATCTTTGCATTTGATACAGTTCACTGCATCATCAAACAGTTTCAAAGGATTTATTGTAAAGTGTAGCAATTGTGTATTTGGAGGCAAACTTGGCAGCCAATTTTTCCACAACAATATACCACAAACACAATAAAGTACTCATGTTACGTTTTATGTAAATTCATGCTGCTTAATTGAATGTACTGATTTGCATAACTCCCTTATTAAAATTAAAAGTTGCCTTGAAGTATTCTTTGTTGTTCGTTTGCATAATTTGTTGCCAATGGGTCCTTTGTTCCAATTTCTACCAAGTCATTTACCTTAGTGAATCTTCAATGCACTGTTATGTCATAGCTCTGTACAATTTGAACATTTGGTAAAAATCTGTAATTTTAAAATCAAAAAGGCTATTCTTTCACAGACATATGACATCCTTTACCCTTAATTATTTATAGTCACAGTCCAAATACACAAACTGCCACAAATGTAGGAAGGTAATAGAAGTGTGGGAGGGAACACAGTATTCAATTCACTTTAGGCCATCTAATTCCATAACTTGTTTAAAACCAAAATAATTACCATTCTTAACATGCTATAATTAAGTAAGGCGCAATATTATTGTAAACAAAAACAGAGAGAGCTGGGAACACTCAGCAGGTCAGGCAGCATCTATGGAGAAACGAAGTGAGTCAACGTTTCGGGTCCACGACCCTTCATCAGAACTGGAATGAATTATGTGCTCCAATACAATACAATCTTAGAGGATTTGCTGACTTTCAAAAACTATTTATGCTTATAGTTTCTGATATCTTCAGAACCTTTACCAGATATCTTTTGCCCACAAAATATATAGTCAATTCACTCTACATTATATCCTGTGAAGTGCTATGAGATGTCTCGAAAACATAATAGATGCAAGAATTATTATTATACAACC